ATAGTAATACATATAATATTTATATTTTTCGTTCACGATACGAAACGTCTTCTTTCATATTTGGAGGTTAGGTGTCTTTTTAATGCAATGGCGATTTTATGTGTTTACGTTGAAATGTGTGTAGATTATATCAACCTATGTGTATGTAAGTTAGTTTAGTTCCGTTCAGTTCGGTTCAAACGTCCTCTAACGTCGTTCAATCTTGTTTTATGTTACTCTAGCGACATGAAAATATAAAAATCCGTTTTGCAGTATTTGATCTAAACGAATATGAAGAAAGATGGAATTAAAAATTTAATTTGATTTACGACTGGACATATTTTAATTTTTTATAATTAAACATTAGCTTTTGATAATCGCTAATCAAAACCAGTGATTAACGCACGATTTATCACTCTGATTTATCGCCGATTGCGGAATCATCTGCTCTTTCTCTATAATCGCAATGAAGCCCATTTGATCCACGATTTTCCTGTCATATATGATTAATCGCGATTTTACGCTAATTTTTTCGAAAATTGGTAAGATCATCATGATTTGCATGACATGGGAGCATTGAACTAGTAATGACAATGCATACTTTCCATATACATGTATATGGAACGATAATATAGGATTGATGAGCAGGGTTGTAATTTATTTTCTTCTTTAAACAATATTTATTGGTGGCACTAACATTAATATTTATAGAGCAAATAGAGCTGTACGTGCTCGAGTAACAGTGTGAAAGTCTTCTTCATCAAATAAAATCAGATGCCTGATTTCAGTATTGTTTTTTTCTGGATGAGCAAATACTGTTGGATTTTGAAGAGATATTTTCTAACGGTAAACGTAATCGATCATATAAGCACGACCGATAGTACAATCACATTCGAATATAAATGTCAAGCGAATGATTGTTTGATTAAGTTGTTGAATGAATAATTATATTCGTATGACCTATTCTAATGCTACAATCTATTCTATGGTTGGCTTTTTCTAGTATTTTTACCTCTAAATTTCGGGATATTTTGGAAACCTTTCAGTTATTTTCTCGATTAGTATTGTCATATTCGACAGAAAAAAATCACATTTATCGTTGATCAAAATTATATCTTTCTATTTATTGAAATTTTACTCAAAAAAATGTTATTGTGAATTCTGTATGGATTCGTATTTTATTTAATACATATAAAGTCCATAGTAGAATTCTTTCAAATTTATATTTGACTTCAATATTGTGATGATTTCTGATAGAACGAGCACTGGCAAAGATGAAGTTGTGCTTTAATCAATTTCTTTTATCAGCGATCTCATTTGTTTCATAGAAAATACATGAATATATATATAGGCAGCAAAGCGACAACTAATAGATCAAAACCAAAAACGATATCACACAAGAGTATAAGTTTGGAGAGAAAATACAAACTAACGATAAGACGTGATAACAGAAAAGCTCAGCCGTATACATTAGAAACAGATATTCTAGAAAGTGAGTTCTGAAATTGATCTTCTTTTCATTCATATTCGTATCCATATTATATAGTATTTAATATTCTAAAGAAGAATTTTCATGCCAACAAAGAAAGTATGTCTTGAAATATATTTGCCACTATTTGAGTGGATATAAACTTTATTTTCATTGTTTTATTCATTCTTCGTCTAAATGCATAATGCAACATGCGTCATATTTTGATTTTTACGCGTACACAATAATATACAATGCCATCTGTAGCATTTTCACACAAATTCTGTACACAATCTTAGCAATTAATTTTGAACCCATCTCCTGCACTCACCCTACCAACTTCGACTAAATAGTCTTCAAAGTATATTTTCAGTTTTGAGAATTCTTTCTCGAATGCTGAGTCACACTTTATTGTCCTTATCTATAATCAACAAACTTGGCTTTTTCTGTTTTAAATCAACAACAAAAATACTCTACAACGACACATTTTTCGAGCATGCAAAGTTTAAAGCAGTTCTCATGATGTGAATGTTTACATCCTGCATGTGTTATATTGCGTCATTAAGTGTATGAAGACTTTTTAAGCTGCAGTTTTTGTTTAGCTTTTAACAGTAGCAAACTGTAGTGAAACATACCGTATTAATATCTATATGATGCCATACAATTACGAAATGGCATAATCATGTTAGATTTGTAAATATATAAATATTATTAATGCAATTTTAATAAATTTTATCTATATCGAATCGGAAACTAATTTTATGTTATATAATATCTTCTTTTGTTGACTAGGGCAATTGGCAATAAAAAAGTTTTCCGTTTGGTCACTGCATACAAAGAAAATTTCTGGAAACGAGACAATACATCAATTTAACATGTCGATAATAGAATATATTCCATTTAATTTCTTCCGCATGATATTAATTTCACCAGGTTTCTACGTTCTTATTTTAGTCGTTTTTCTTGCATATAAATTATTATTGTGTCCAGGAAGACCTTCACATTTAACAGGAGATTGGCAAGACTCTCAGGTTGTTCTCCATTGGTATACTTCATCAAGGGCACACACCTATCAAGTTTATTACAGATCCAACCAAAATGCAACCGTCAAGTGGAAATCTATACCGAACTTACATTTGAATACATGCTCTCTTACTATAGTTAATGGCATCGCCTACGACATATACGTTGTGGCACAAAACTCCTATGGATTAAGTTTTAGTTCGGTCGTTCTTAATGGACGTTCTCGTGTTTCGCCACCTACAAATCTCAATGTTTCAGCTAACTCAGGAGATAATACCGTCTTTTTACACTGGACCCCAGTCGTGAATTGTAAAGGTTATATTATTGAAAGGAGAGAATATTCACTTTCAAAAAGTACATTTTCTATTATTAAAAAACTGAACGACCCTTCATACAAAACATTTGAAGACAATACTGCATTTTTTGGTATCAAATATTGTTATGTAGTTATCTCACTTGATGAAGCTGGTGAAAGCAGTTGCTCAAATGAAGCTACTATGTATCTACGTGCTCCAGCACCCAAAAATGTTGCTGTAAGGCTTAACAATGACAAAACTGATACAATTTCATTGCAATGGATGCTGGTACCAAAAGTCGAGGGATATATCATTAAACGAGCGACAGGATCACCCAATAGTGCATATTTCTCCATCGGAATACTGTATGATTCATCGGCCACAAATTTCGATGATAGTTCATTCAAATTTGGTGTTACATACTATTATACTGTCACATCAATCGATAAAGCTGGTGATGCTGATGAGTCACCGGCTGTCTCCATCTGTCCTCGTTCTTATGCACCTACGAATCTTGTTATTATATATGAACAGACAAACAATCTCGTTGCTTTGCAATGGAAACCAGTAGTGAATGGTAATGGCTATATTGTGAAGCGAGCAGCAGGTTCATTGAATGACCCCTTTTTTATTATCGATAAAATTAATGATCCGGCAATCACAACCAGCAAAGATATTTCATTCATATTTGGAACAAAATATTATTATGTAGTCGCTTCCTTTGATGAACTTGGTGAAAGTAATCAGTCAGATTCAGTTAGTGTGGTATGTCCACGTGCTCCGGCGCCAGCCGATCCAAGGTGTTCTTACACGGAGAATGCTGATAATTGCATCGTTTTGCAGTGGAAACCAGTATTGAATAGTAAAGGCTATTTTGTTAAACGAGCACACATCACAAATAGTTCTGGAGTTATGGGAAGGTGAGACAAAAGCTATTTTCACATTCAACGCAGAGATATTCATCGCGGTTGGAAATCCACCGCTGCCACACCAGATTTAGTCCGCTTTCGCCGAATTTTCTTTCTACTGACGTCTATTGTCGCCGATGTTTAACTTCGCCTAATGAAATTTTCACCGAATGCATTTTATACCCGAAAAATGTTCGATGAAATATAATACATAACACATCTAACACTCTATTGTAATTAAGTAGTTTATTGAAAAATTGATTTGGTTATTATCTGAGTTGGTAACCATCTCATTTGCTGGTTATCTGATGTGGTAGGATGTGAGTGTGGTGTCGAGTGTGGGCATGGACGTGGTTGGTGAAGAGAATAAATACCAATTGCCACCCTCACACCTACACCCGCTACCAAGTCAGATGATTACTAGGTTAGATGGTTACCAACTCAAATGGTTGCAAAGTTAGATGATAATTAATTATAATAAAATGTTTACTATACCATGGATAGTATTGAATTTGATAACTGTCGATGACAAAATGCATTCGGCGAAGCTCAAGTCAGCGAAAACAGACGTCAGCGAAAAACGTTTCGGCGAAAAAGAAATTTACCCCCACATCCACACCCGCTACCGCAACGCTATAAAGTGTGGTCTTAAGAAAGTGTTCTGTCCTATAGTCAAAGAATATGCTTCTGGACTATAGAGTTAGTATCGATTACTATGTCGAGCATAAGCGCATTATAGAATCGATAACAATCATAAACCCATTAGTGCTTCAATAGTGTCGCGGATACATACAATGAGTAAGCAAAAGAGACTGGAAAACATGTAATTTGAAATGAGTTAGTAAATATTCTATAAGTTCAATATCATATTCTCGTTTAATTTCTACCAATGAAGCTTTTGGGAAGAAAAAAATGAAAAGTCGTGAGCACTTTGGGACAACGACCCATGTAAAAGGAAAAGCAAGAAAAATCTACTATTAACTAATTTCAATAGTATCTTTTAAACAGAAGAACAGTACTTACAAGTTCACATTTTTAAGTATTTTTTCTACTTTTTAACTAAAAATTACTATTTTGTACTTCGACAGATAGACAAAAGTCACAATAATTCACTGAAAAATGCAAAAGATAGCTAAAACACGTATTTTATTTTTTTGAATCAATACTGAAACTATCTGATAATATTTCGACACATTTAAATTTTCTGAATTTAAAAAAAAGAAAACAAAGTAAATATTTTCACTATTTTTCACTTTTCTTAGTAAATATTGTTACTTTTTTCTACTTTTTGAAGTACTTAATAGTAATTTACAGTCAAAAAGTATGAAAAATATTTTAAAAGGTCCCATTTTAACACTTTTTATCTGTTTGAAAACTACTAATGAAAGTAGTTAATAATAGATTTGCCCTATTTTTATTTTTACATTGGAAGGTGTAATGATGCTACTCGATGCATAATACTCACACATTGTATAATAGTTTTACTTAACACATTGTTTTATTATAAAACTCATTAGAATATGAATTGAACGAAATTTTTCGTTATAAAAAAATGCATAAACGTTGTAACTAGTGTTGTCTGAATGCGTGTTTTTTTCTAGCCATTCATCTAAGGGTAGTCAAAAGTACTGGCAGTGACATTTATACGTATACTATATAGCCATGCTTCAGAGACTTTCTTTATAATGATCTGATAAAGATAAGAATATTCATTTTTTCCATGTTGTTTAATCATACTACAAGAAATGTCATAATCATAAGATTTCTTTAAGATCGAGACTGCTTACATAGATCTCACTAATGCGAAGGCTGATAAGTATTTTCTGAGTAGCATTTCATATAGACTAGACAGAAACCTGGAGTTCGAATCAACGAAAAAAGAGATGAAAATGTGTCTAACCCTATATCATACACTTTTCTACCATTGACTTATAAAGTATTTCTCAAATACTTTTTATGAAAAAGGAACAAGAAGACACATATAAGTGAGCTTCTCTCACAATAATTAATACAAAAATCTTTTTCGATTTTCGACGAAAGTACAATTCAATCTTCTCAATCTTCAACAGTTTGTCGATCTTCGATTAATGTTATGAATTTGTATTTGATCATTGAAAATAGATGTAAACAATGCACCATATATGTTCGTTCGCGAAAAGGTGAACTGAGAAATCTTAGAGAAAAAAAAAATCAGAAAATCTCATAGTATAGAAATTAATGCATAATGATTTGTCATTCTAAGTTGTATAGACCGCATTTCTCTACCTTGTTTTTATCAAAAAAATATTTGAACATTTATTACTCGCCTTTTTTTTAAAATGATTATTAGAATAATCGTGACACACAGGAGCAAAACAAGTCTTGCCAAAATTTTATCATTATGATCGTAGTGGATGTCTGATTAAATGACATCAATCGAGAATCTTTTTTCTCTAGTACATTACGGATAGAGAAAGTTTTGTTAAGTTTCCAGTGTGGTTTGAAAGTCTTAGTGCCATTGTCCCTATTTTTAGATATCCCTAAGTCATATGCAAAAAGATGGTTATGGTACTTTTACTGCGTCGCATACGAGTTTTCTCTAAATACAGCATTCTGACTAAACATAACACTAATGTGTAGCAGGGAAATAAATGCAAAATAGCAATCACGCCACTTCTAAAAATAATTACTTATTAAAAAAAGTTGAAAGCGTTATGCACGCAGTTTATATGAACCGATATTCAAGGACAACGATCAAAATTTAATTTGATTTATCGATGATCATATTATTCGATAAAGCGTGTCTTGCCTAGCATAAATCAAGAATCTCCATCTAGAATAAGTGATTGTTGCATTCGCAACCTGTCTCCTCAAGATCATAATTCTTAGAGTTGTTTGTGATATATGAAAATAAAATAAACTTTCAGGGTAAGAAATACTAAGCATTTTATACCAGAAAAGGCGAACCTAATAAAAAATACATGCTATTAAAAAGCATGAGCGTATAACACATGTGAAATATGATGGGAATAGAATATATATTGCTGAAAGCTTAACAATACGATATCATATAAAGTCATCATATAATAACATGATATTGGCGCTTGTAGTTTTATCACGCACTGAAAGAACAAAGGAGATGCATCCGTTGACAAAGAATAAAATAGACTGTTTTCATTGATGATAGAATAATGCTGTCAAGTACTGTAGATTTCTCGAATAATTTGTTTTTTCAATTAAGAAATCTTCCATCTCTGCCACAATAGACATCTATGATCCAACGGTATTAACAACATGATAATTGACAGAGACAATGACATTTCTAATGCATTTCATTTCTGAGTCGATGACTTTTTTCATGGTGGCCAAAAGTATTGTTGAAGTACACGAGATCGGTTCGTAACGTGAATGTATGTTACAGACGAAACTAAAGAGTTCGTCTTCTTCTGTTCGAAAGTATATGATTTCTATTGTAAATGGGAGAGCAGCTCAGAATTCAGTGGCGTTGGCAGAAAATTGAGCATCAATGTTAATACGCAGTGTTCTCGTTTTGTTGAATAATTAAGGAAAGATATGGCAAGTAAAGAAAAAATTCTTTTTCTTTCATGATCTTGTAATTCTTTTGAGATCTACGGTCGTGACAGTTCGAAAGTAAAGACTTCTTCATCACGCAATACATAAAACTGTAACAAAACCTCTCACACACATGCATTAGTATATTCACAAATCAGAATTCAGAAGGTCATTTTCTCTTTCTCTTTAGATATCAGAACGAAAGAAGAAGCTGTCCATGATGATCACTTTCTTTAGTATTACTACCCTGCCATTCCATTATCAGAATAAAAGAAATAAGAGAATTTTCTAATAAGACATTTATAGGTATAATCATATAGGCGATTGAAAAGGCAAGTCATAGCTATATATCATGTTTGGTCATGAGGTCTTCGATTTCGACATATCATATTATTAAATAATGATTCAAATAAAAGATTAAAGAAAAAAAGTTGTATCCAGACACAAACTCAGAAAATTGCGCGATATAAATCGTCGGCATCTATAAAGGGTGGGCAATAAGTTCTGACCCGCTCAGTGTATAGCGTTTTTTTACAGTTTACTTTATCGGGCAAGGTTGATATTTATAGTATGTATACCACTTATAGTTATTATGACTAGTATGTGGTTAGTCAGGATGTTGGGGAGCGTTAAGCGAGAAGAACTTCGCGTCAGGCTGGCATTCTGACCAGAGCTACATCTAGCAATAGATGTAGGAAAAACATCGGGCTTATCGAAACTGTTCTTGGACAGCACCCCACACTGCAAGGTAGCCGAAAGGCAGGGGTATTCTTCTTCTTCTTCTTCTAGTATGTATATTTCGTTTGTCCATACATCACATGTTGGAATCTCAGGTTTCTGATAAAAAGCAGAATACCAGTATTTCAAATTTCATAGAGAAAAAAAATAATTTGATCACAGTGTTTTATTCGTCATGTTCGAGGAAAAACTAATTCAATAAAGCATCTTGACTAGGAAACGTCCAGAATAAAACAATGAAAGTAAGTGCTAATGATCATGTACTTGTTCTTCATCATTATCGATAATTTGTACCTCTCTTTAATGTTCTGCTAACTTTTTTTAACGATTGCATGCCTTTTCAACAATGGTGGACTTCCGGAATTTTGAAGAAATGTTAAAAAATCGGAAGCTTGTTATAAAGGATTCAATTTTTTCGAGCCCAACACAATCGAGTGAATTTCTTTCTCATCTTGTGAAATATTCGACATGATATCGAGTATAAAATCTATTTAACTGTGATTTCAAATAAAAGATCCACGTAAATTTAAATTGATTAATTTTAAAACGAACTGCTAATCGACAGAAGATTAAAGAAGGTTAAAAAGTAAGATTCTGTCACGAACACTCATCGAGAAGGACGTTGCTCTTTCTAAACGTTATTTCTCTGCCCTTTTCAGAGACGCATGTGCGTTCTAATTGAAAGAAAAATAAATTCTTAATTTTTTGAGATGCATTCCTGCGTGGAAAAACAACAGGACACAAGAATGTTTCGTAGCAGTGATGGGTCATTACACTATGGGTCACTAAATGACTTATTTTGCAAATTGATATGTTCTACAGAATATATAGAAATTTTTTGTAAAGTTTTATGATGCCGGTATCCTACTATTTATAAGAGCCAGAAACCTGAGATTCCGATATTTGATGTATGGACAAAAGAAGTATATGTACTATAAATATCAACCTTATCTGATGAAGTAAACGGTAAATAAAACGCTATACATTAAGCGGGTCAGAACTTATTGCCCACCCTTTATATATAAAGAAGAATGTCTGTTTGTTTGTTCGCGATTCACTCAGTCCCGGTAATAGCTAGCGTCACCAAACTTTCCACGATTCTTTTCTGGATCCTGGGAAAGATCGACGTCCACTTTTTTCCGAAAAAGAATCAATCGTTCGCTTGCTACAGACTGCCTATGTTACTGACCAATAGTATTGCAGCATTTCCAAATATTCAAGTAATTGGTAGTGAAGGCGGCCGAAGGCCGTCTGAGCGCACATCTACTACAATTTACACGTTCCATCTATCTATCTTATATATAAAGAAGAATGTTTGTCTGTCTGTCCGTTCTTTATGCGTTTCTACACCGTACAAGCAAATGCAACCACATTTTCCAGGAATCTTCGTCTCATCCAGGAGAAGGTCAACATCTACTTTTTTTCGAAAAAGTTCGTCCTACACCTGCAAAAATCTTACCTTTGTAGCTGACTGATCAGATTGCAGTATTTAGTGCTACAGGACAACTATTGAATTACACTTCGTAATCACACAGAAAATATGTAACCCTAGGTTTTCGAGGGTGGTGAGTTCGAATCTGCGGCCCATATGCCTCGAAATTTGATTGACTGTCCTAGAACCAATAGGAAATCAGCTGTTAAAAGGACCAGATAATAGACCTATACTTTTGGGAAAATGATGAAGTAGGGGCTTTTAGAGATGATAAATTCGAATATGGGTCCATTTGCCTCAAAAGTTGATTGGTTGTCCATAAACCAATAGAATCTCGACCTCTAAAAAAATACACGAAAATACTTATTTTTTCGGAAAAATGATGTGGTAAGGAGTTTTAGTCATGATAAATTGAAATCTGACGTCTGATCATCTCGATATCGTAATGATCAACTCAGACCCAATAGTCATTAAATTTTGGATAAACGAATATCAGTGAATGATTGCTGGAAGGAGATTAGAAATTGGAATTCTGTCGGCCATGATGCCTTACTGAACGGCCCATGAATTAATTGCGTGAAACATATAAAATACACATAGAGTTTTAGAAAAATTCCTTCGTTCGGGTCACGTGCTGTGTGAATTTCAAATAAATAGTATATTAGGTTCGAGAATTCGTTTGTCAAATATAAATGGTTCAGCTGTCAATAGATCGTTTGCACAAAGGTTTTTCGTCTACCCTTCTTGAATACCAGTAAAACCCCCAGTGTGCTCTCAGCAGTACAAAGCATGATATACTGTCTTAACTCTTCTAATCAATAAATACTGGAAAATTGAAGCTTTAGATCAAGTAGACGTGTAGTTGGATTTAGTTTTGATTGAAGCGGATATTTCTCGCAGGTTTGTAAGAAAAATCGATTAGCCAAGTGGTTGTCTTCTAAATATGGAATCAAACAACTACGAGATCAGAACGGAAGCTGTGCTAGGTGGGACAAGGGCCGATCGGAATCGGAGCCCATTGAAATAGGTATATGTTGCGGGATGCGCTCAGAAATATAGAAAGTCAATAAAATATATGAGATGTAAATGTCTTCTTGACATACACATAAAGATGCAGAACTATTCACATGAGAACAATCTTTCGATATTGTTTTTCTATATTCGCAGAGAGTGGAATCAGATGAGATTCAGACTCAGAACAGGCCTAAGAATTTAGATCCAGATAGGTCGGGAGTAAAAACAGTAGTTGTGTGTGATTGCTTCTCCCTAATTAGGCTTTTTAGATCTTCCCAAGTATAACTCGATATTGTTTGCATGCATAGAGTGTGAACTTACCCGAGCAACGCCGGGTACCTCTGCTAGTATTAAATAAATCACTGACGTAGATGGGACATAACTTGATATCATTAAGAATCACTAAACCTTCACAAGAAACCTATCCGCGGTAATTATTACTGAGAAAGATCAACTCCATTTGTCCTTTCATACATGATGGATTGTTAAATTTTACATGTTATATCTAAATATTGATTTTTTAGGCTTGCTCAATTTGAATATACTGTCTTTACATTTATTATATGATTCAATGATAGTTATTTTAGACTTATATTTATTCCACTATGTTGTAGGTGGAGAAGAACTATCAACAGAGTTTTCATCGTATTTCTCAATTCTTACTTTATTTTCTGGAGCCTTTATTGAAGAGCTTTCTTATTGATTCTTTAGTTTCTGGATGGCTTTGGGATATTCATCGAAAATTCATTTTTCCACAATTGCAAGATTGAACGATCCTTCAACTACGAAAATGGAAGATAATTCATTCAAATTCGGTGTTCACTATTGTTACGCAGTCGCCTCAATTGACGAAGTTGGTGAAAGTACGCAGTCGGACCCAATGTCTATTTTCCCACGAGCTCCTGCACCAGTTGGCTTTATTGCCTTCTATACTGAACGCACGAGTAAATCTGTTACTTTACAGTGGAAACCAATAACAAATTGTAAAGGCTATATTATTAAACGAGCAACGGACTCTTCAACTAACTCATTCTTTGTTATCAAGAAGATTCATGAATCTTCAGTCAACGATATTCAGGATACTTCAGTCACGTTCGGTACTCATTATTACTACACAATCTCTTCTGTAGATAAAACTGGCGAAAGTAATCAGTCAAAACCAATTGGTATTGTTTGCCATTGGATTCCAGTACCAACAAATCTGACAGCTTCGTATATCAAGAGCTCTTCAGAGTCTATCACTCTACATTGGCAACCAATAGTGAAGGGAAAAGGTTATACCATCAAACGAGCAACAACTTTATTACCAAGTGCATTTGCTACCATCAAGACATTGAATGATTCTTTAATCTCTCATGCTGAAGATACTTCATTTATATGTGGCATTACATATTATTACACTATTTCCACAATTGATGAAGGTGGTGAAAGTATTCAATCAGATCCAGTTAGTATTTGTGTTCGTGCTCCACCACCTACAAATCTTTCAGCATCATTTGATAATTATGATACTTCTCTTGTAATATTGCGATGGAGCCCAATATCAACTGCTGCTGGATATATCGTCAAGCGAGCGACAACGTCACCAAGCAGCTCGTTTTCGACATTGAAACAATTAGATGATCCTTCAACTATAGAATTCCAAGATAAGTCAATCTTATTCGGTGCGACTTATAATTACGTTATTACTTCGCTTGATAAAGCTGGCGAGAGTGACGATTCAAGTATCGTTAGCATTCATTGTCCACGAGCTCCAGCACCGAAAAAGTTCGAAATTATGATCTCAAAAGGTACTAGTCGTACAATTACGCTACACTGGTCGATCGTTTCAAATTGTAGTGGATACAGAATTTATCGATTCATGGCCAATGATCCTTCGATAGCTTCATATTCTATCACATTTTCATGTAACTGTCAAGATAACAATCAAAGTCAATGTATCGAAAACGATAAATATTCAAAATTTCTACTAGCTACTATTACAGATCTAACAATTAGTTCTTATACTGACTCTAACGTTAAGAACGGTATCGAATACCATTACTGGATTTCATCAGTGGATGTTATCGGAGTTAGTTTTGGTTCACAACTTGTAAGTGGAAAAACTGTATTACCTGCTCCAACGAACCTGCGCGCTAAAGTATTAGTAAAGCGTAATACTACTGTACTGTGTTGGACAAGCGTTCCGACTGCAACGGGTTATCGCATAGAACGAAAGAATAAGTCTGGTCATCCAGAAACGATTGGACGGCTTTCCGGTGATTCAGACACTAAATTTCATGATAAACAATGCGTCCTACGTGACATGCCTTATATCTATACAGTCTATGCCATTGATGATACTAGTGAAAGTGAGCCATCGAATCAGGTTCAAGTAACATCGCTATCCTCCGAGGATCAGACAGATTATTCAGATCTAGTTCAAGTTCGATTTGGCAATTTGGTCACTGAAAAGGTAAATAACTGAATGATTTATTAATCTTTCATAATCACAATCAGCTGACAAATTCAATTAAGAAATTATTTGTTTAGGTCGATGCCATTGTTATTTGTTCTACATCTGAGAAACTTGTGGAAAGTGTCCTAACTGCATCAGGTATAAAGGATATTGATGTAGATAAACAACGATGCATATCGTTACCAGCTGGTCGTTTATCATGTAAAAGCATTATTTTGAATCCTTGGACACCTGATGTAAAAGACGAGGTTGGGCTAGAAAATTCCATTCGACAATTTATGAATACTACCTTTCAATATGCTGTACAAGCTCAATGCAAGACAATAGCATTTCCTGCACTTGGTAAGTCAATGTTTTTCAGTAATCGTTCTGAAGGAAATGCTTCCCTAGTAACGAGTAATAAAGCCCATCAAAGGACTACAACTGTCTAGGACTAATGAATACCACATATTTTATAAGAAACAAAAAGGGGATAATACTCATGTTATTTATTCCAGTCTATCAAAATAATTTCCTTCACAATAATCCTTACCGGATAATAATCAAGATCTAGTTTCCTTTCGTGCTATGTTTTATTGTATGCCAAACATCGTCTATAGTGATTTGCGTAGAATTATATATTTCGTTGACCTGCATAAATTGGTTAACGATACGAGTCGAGATAAACTTCTTCTTGCTTCATGACATCTTTTAAACCAAAACATATACGAATATATATATTCACAACTATGGAGCATTGTCTACAAGGGCTAGAACTCAGTATCAAATAAAGTCAGCTCCCGTTCCTTGTATGATCAGATCATCTTTTAGGATGTGGTGGACACAAATGTGATCTCAAAATAGTGGCCTCAACAATGGTTTCTGAGGCTTACAACCAACTTCAATTTGACGCTCAAGGTGACAGATCAATTTCATTCATCATAGAGCCTGATAAAACATCAGTTTTTGATGTATTCTCTCAATACGTAATTCGAAAGCATTCTATCACAAGGTTTTTATCAGCCACCGATGAATTAATTCCTGGATGGGAAGTTATCAATGATCAATACCCTATGCGAGTGCATCTATCTCCATCGTCTGAGGAATATCGAAGTGTACTACGTAGTTTTCGAGCAACAATATCGGCGACTAAGACTAATGATAATATTCGCATCGAACGAATTCAAAACGAGCGATTATATCGTCAATATCAAATTGAGAAAAAGCATTTTTATAAAATGTTACAAAAAGATACACAAAAAACTCTTTACCATGGATGTCCGAACGATGATGCAAAACTTCAGTCAATCATGGAACAAGGTCTCGATCGCAGTAGAGCTGGGGATGCAAATGGTAAAAATATAAGTTAATTCGTATATGTATTAGTATTTCTAACTTTTTTTGTTTTATAGGTGTAATCTATGGTCACGGAGTTTACTTTTCAACGAAAGCAAGTGAAAGCCACCGGTATACGGTACCCTCTCCAAAGACAGGAGAACGTACCATGTTTGTTTGTTCTGTTTTGATTGGCAAGTCTACTCAAGGAAATTCGCAGATAAAACGATGCCCAGATGGATATCATTCTACTACGAATGGTTCTTCTATATATGTTGTATATCGTGATAATCAAGCCTACGCAAATTACCTTATACATTACCGATAACTGCAAACATTATCATTTACAATAACTACACAAGTTCTTGACTAATAGTTAAATCACATGTCTTCTTTGTCAGAGGCACTACGAAAATCGATCCTGATAAATTTATGCCACAATAAGAAATTAATGCCCTCTTATTCATGTATATATACCCTGGCAAAAAAAGCTTCCTTCTGTATTTTGGGAATATCGTTATCATAGTAGCATATTTTTTAAAAAGTAATGATGTATTCTGCAGAAGTATGGAGTTTTCTATTATCCTGTATATTTACTTACTTTCTTGCCTCCATTTATTGAAAAGAAAATTCGAGTATAATGACTATATACATCGAAACTCTTTATCTTATTATTTTGTGCTTGTTTACATATGCAGCACAACAACTAGTGATAGTGGTGACATTATAGCAGCTTCATTAAAAAAAACATAAACCAGAAACTGATGACCATGCATCGTATAAATGTTTTACACGTGAAGTATGCCTTTTTTGTTATCTCAAACACTGAAAATAGTGATTCATCTAATGTTTTTTAGAAGAATAGTCATTTTCGACAGATGAAGAATACTATATCCTCCTACATCTCTCGAAACTCCCACACTCTCCAATTGTGGTGTTCATTCGAATTGCGAATGGTATACCATTGAAGGATTAGACCACTTTTCTCACACCCATTTAAAATTAAAACACCAAATGATAACTAGCTAGAAACTATCATATCTACTTTTTTCGAAGAAAACAATC